GAGAGAGAGAGAGAGAGAGAGAGAGAGAGAGAGAGAGAGAGAGAGAGATTGCATTGGGCAGTTGCCTACACCATGAATGCATCACCCATCATATCTGTTTTTGCGAGCGAAGCCGCAACAGGTCATGTAGTATTACTTATAATTTGTAAACTGGGGCTTGCTTGGCAGATGGTATCTTGACTTTGTCCTCCTTTTCTGTTTCGTATTCGGGAGGATGAATGTTAAAAAGGTACTCTGAAAAGTTTTGAAAACATGGATTACTTCCAGGATGGGAGTGGTATCGAACTGCACAACCACTTGGTTGCAAATGATTTCTTCATTTATCCACCACCTGTTTTTTTTGTTTTCTGGATGAGGAGGATTGTTTTTTTGTGAAACATGAATTTTGATTCAAGGGTGGAAATCCTCTCAATCTGCACAATCTTTCATCCATTATCCAGGGAGGAAGGCCAGAAAGGAAACACAGTCTGTGATGTTGAGTGCTTGGCCTGAGTTGTCTAGTGTTTGGACAGTGTGCTTATCTTGCAATTGGTTGTCGTTTTGTACGGCACCTGTTTCGCTTGTTTTCGGGAAGATGGTACTTTTTGAAAATATATGATTTCAAGGGTAGAAATTTCCGAACCCGTTCTGAGTTTTTATCCTCACTCACAAGAGCTCTTCCTCCTCGTGCTCTAATTGAGCACATTGATTGCGTTCATGTCCTCTGCTCCCCCCTTGAGCACATGTAGTGCGTTCATGTCCTCTGCTCCCCCCTGCTTCAAAGAGCATTTTGCTGCACAATTCTGTTATCTCTATAGCCGTGCGAGAATTATAGAGTGTGTACCTTGGACCCCTCTCTCCCTTTCCCCCTTTCTCAACCTTTTGCTTTCCCTCTCCCTCTCTTTCTCTCTCATTCTCCCTCTCCCTCTCTCTCAGAGCAAAGAGGGATCTGCTAAGCAATACTCTAGACATTCAGGATAGGTTATTTATTGCTCTCTCTTTCACAAGAAAGAGGAAATCTTCCAGGAGTTCAGCAAGATTCCCCTCCCCCCCCTCTCTCCCCCTCTCTCCCCCTCTCCCCCCCTCCCTTCCCCCCTCCCTTTCCCCCCTTCCCCTCTCACAAGAACGGGCAAATATTGTTGGAACACTGTCCTAGGTTTGGATCATACTTGCGGCGCATCAGTGCGGTGCGCGATGCGGTGCGCACCTGTGCCGTGCGCGCACTCGTGCGCGATGCGCGCGCACTACTGCGCAGTGCGCTGCGCGGCACTCCGGTGTGCAGTGCGCCGGTGTGCTGGGCCGTGCGCGTGACGAGCGCAATTTCGCGCATGGTGCGCCGTGGTATACATGGATTTTATTTTATTTTTTTCCTTCGTGATACACCGAGTTGACGAGTTAACCCCGGAGAGAGAGAGAGAGAGAGAGAGAGAGAGAGAGAGAGAGAGAGAGAGAGAGAGAGAGAGAGAGAGAGAGAGAGAGAGAGAGAGAGAGAGAGA